CCCCCCCCCCCAGGGAAGGGGGAGGGGGTTGAAAAATAGCAGTTTTCAAGAGGCATAAAAAACGGAATTTACAGCTCCAATCGGTTGCGGAAAGTTCGACGTTGCAAATGAGATACACTTGTCGCGGAAGGAGTTTTACCCTCCTCATGAAGATAGAGTGGGGGTGAGAGTGGAGGAAAAAAAAATTATTTAATTTCTTCTCTCACCAAAAGTTTACGTAAACTCTCGGAAACACGCGAAAAGTGGAGAATGAGGAGGAGATAGAAGAGTGAAAAAAAAACATGGAGAGAATGAAGTGAGAGAGATGTTTAGCGGTGCGGTTGGTACCCGATGGGTTGACCGAAGAACGACTTTTAGAGAGACTTTTTCTCCTGCACTTTATAAGATAAACCAAAGTTTTGTTTACGTTTTTGCTGGGTTAACTCAAACCCCAGCCACCCACTCCACTCTCACCCCTGTGCTCTCGTGTGGGTTTTTTAAATGTTATTTTTCGCCTCCTATGATTCTTTATTTGTCCTTATTTTTTTTTTTTTTGACTTCCGGTTCTTTCCTTCCCATGAAGGGGGAGTGAAATATACACTGGGTATATTTTGGTGGAATACAACTCTTCAATCCTCTTACGTTGACATTCGCAGATGGAGAAGAGCAAGTTACTTTGTCTCATACTGATTCTACTGCAATGTCACGTACGACTACTCGACTCGTACAACGTGCCCTGTGCTTTCAACACGATGTGTCTATGCTGGATACAGGATGACGAGGAGTTTACGAAAATGGACATCAGTTGTCTCGGTGTACCGTTTGCACGTTTTCCAGGTATGAGAGTGTAAATTTTTTATTTTATTTCGAATTTAGGGGGACATGGATAGTCCGTGGGTTCAGTAAGGAATTTTCTTTTCCCAAATTATGAATAGTTTCATACGGTTTATTTTGTGGTAGTTTAGCTCTGATGAAGAGTGAAATAATTATTTTTTTACATAAAATTCTACAAAATACAGTTGAAAGGCTATTCATTCATTGGACGTGATTTTCGTGATATTTTGGGAAATATGCACGGAGAAAAAAGGTTGAAGAAAAATTACCAAATAATTTAAGTAATCGCGGAGCGGAGTCCATTTCTAGGTCTGTTTCACTCTATATCGTAAAAAAGTGCGAAACGAATAGTGAATTTTTCTCCGCTGATTCAGGAAAATTTACTAAACGTGGAGTAATTTGTGCCGAAAGAGTAAAATTCACCACTTATGATATCAATAACTATCCTCTGTGACCGCAAATATTTGCTCAATTAGTGATGTCCCGAGAGACGAGAAAAATGAGACGGCAAGTATGACGAGACCAGACGAGACAGTGTTTCGAGATAGAAATGAACAGACGAGACGAGAAACGTCCGCCGAGAGAACGACATGAGAGACGAGACCCTTATATTTTCTGACCCTTATTTTTTCTGGCGCTTATTTTTATACACTTACTAGGGAGCTACACCCCCTGCTTGCTTGCTGACCCTTATGACCTTTAATCTGATCGCTGTGACCCTTAATCTGACTCTCGTGACCCTCACTCTGACCCTTATTACCCTTATTCTGACCCTTATTTTGACCCACGTGACCCTTATTCCAAGCTGCGTAATCCTCATTCTGACCCTCGTGACCCTTATTCTGATCCTCGTGACCTTGATTCTAAACTTTGTGACCCTTATTCTGACCCTTATGACCATTGTTCTGATCCTCGTGACCCTTATGTTGATTCTTGTGACCTTTAATTGTGGAATCTTACTTTCGAGTACCAAATTTTTATCACCAGAAGTCGATTTGGATTTTTATAATATAGAGAGTTTTTCTTTGACCCTTATTTTTTCAGATTTTAATTTTTTCTGACTAGTATTTTCTGATTCTTATTTTTACAGACTGTTATTTTTGCATGTGTGATGAGACGAGATGAGAGCCTGGGAGAGAATCTTTCGACTCTCGACGGGACGGGAGAACCATGTACACTGAGAAAAAAATTACTTTTGCCAAGGAATTATTTTCTTGGGAGAAGTTTTTTTAGGAGCGTATTTCTCCAGGCCAGTCATTCCCAGATGGTCCAAGCCCGTCTCCAAATATTACAATTATGTTAGTTATGAGAGGATTATGCTGAATATGGTCTTGAATGAACTCCATTGATAATTATAAACATTGGGAATGATTCCAAATTATTTTACGTAAGAAAATCTCAAATTTGAAAACATTAAAGAATAATGAAGGGTGTTCATACAAGGTCGTGTGTAGCATAATCATCTTATAATTCAACGTAATTGTAATGTGTGAGATGTAATATTTGAGATGGACATGGACCACCTACGAATGACTGACTTAGGGAAATACGCTCCTAAAAATGTAAATTCTCCCAAGAAAATGATTCCTTGGCAAAAGTTTTTTCGTAGTGTACGATCGACGAAATGAGGCGCGCAATGGAATTTTCTCGTCTCGACTCGCGGCATCACTGCAAATATTGAGCAGCTCAATATTTCGTAATCATTCACATATGTGTAGGAATTTTTCTGTGACGGCGCATGATTTTTTTTATCAAACGCGGTTTGGTAAAATTTCACTTCCGTCCGTCCTCACATATTTCACATAGGTGCCAGAAAAAAACGCCGTATCGGTGCGGGAGATTTTACTGTACAGAAAAAATAATTTGTGCATCGATATATATTTTTTTTACCGTACGAATCGTAAGATTTTCTCCGCAAAAAGTATTTTTTATTGAATTACAATTTTGCTCCACGATTACCTTTTGTGAAGTAAATTGTACTACGATTTTCTAGATTTTTTTTATTTAGCTTTTCTCTCCATATAAGAACACTTTTCGATGATATTACCGATAAACCGCAAGGAAATTCAAGTGTCATCTACAGTTTCAAACTCAGCGCACTACAGATTTTTCGATTTGCAATTATTAAATCTTAGAAAAATTTGAAAATAATTGATGCCCTCTATCAGCATCCTTTTGTAGCTCTTGAAGCGTTATTCATAAATGAATAACGGCGGAAATCCATATTCCGGATAACCTATTTTTTCGCCATGGAATTGATGTTTGAGATCATTACGAATGAAGAAAAACTCATTCTAGGTTTGCAAATTTATTTTTATGAATTTCTTATTGAATTCTCGTTTATAAATTCTCCGCGAAAAGGAGATTTCCGAAATTCTTCCCCATTGTAAAGTGAAAAGTCAAATTCGGACTTCGAAAAATCTTAAAAAGATTATTGAAATTTCAACTATCGAGTTGAGTGAAAATTTAACTTCAAATTTTACAAAAAATTTTAAAACAAACGAGTGGGAAATTGCTTTTGTATTGTATATGTATAGTATAGTTATTTTTGCTAATAAATTGGCAATATGCCTCCGAATGGTTATTTTGCACGTCGATTCCTTCTGTCATGTATAATTCATTGTTTATTTCATTCCATTAAATTCAGTAAGATTTTTCATTTACCTAATGTTGTCAGACTGCCAACTTAGTTGAATGTTATCAGCATGATTATTCTTATTATGTCTTTTCTTCTATACAACTGATAGTCTTTTTTACAGTTCTATCTCTGCCCTCAGCCCTTCGATAATTTTCGAATAAATCAAAATAACGATTATTGCTATCGCCTTCATCTTCGAACTCGGTTAAAGGGACATCCAAATAAATTGTTCAGCCATCATTCAATTATTTCAGAACATTTTCTTTTTCGTTATCGTGGCATAATCGATTTTCAAAAAAAATCGAAAACTAAAAAATGTAATCGATGAATTGAATTTTAAATAATGGCGATCGATAGAGCTCAACAATAACTACACTAAAAAAAGACTTTAATTCCATCTATTTATTAGCGAACAATTGAAGAAAAACTTTACCACACACATACGTACGGACACGGTCTAAAAATTGCATTTTCGGACTTTTTGGATCATAATGGGTCGATATAACACAAAAAATTCAAAACTTAAATCCGAACGATTAGAATACTTCCATTCGGCAAGCAAAAAGTGGCAAAACTCTCCCATCCAAACAAATTTTTAAGCCATCATTTAATTAATTCAGAATATGTTCTTTTTAGTTATCGTGGCATAACGGATTTTCGAATAAAATCGAAAATTAAAAAAAATAATCGATGAATTGTATTTTAATTAATGGCGATCGATAGAGGTTAACAATACCTACATTTGAAAAAAAAGGTTCAATTCCATCCATTCATTAGCGAACAATTGAAAAACAACTTTACTGCACATATACATACATACACACACACAGACGAACGGACACGGTCTCAAAATTACATTTTCGGACTTTTTGGATCATAATGGGTCGATATAACACAAAAAATCCAAAACTTGAATTGGAAGGATTAAAATGCTTTCATTCGGAAGCAAAAATTGTCAGGTACTTGGATGTCTGCTTCCATTCACTTCTCAAACAAGACAATTTTTTTTTGAAGTAGAGGGGAAAATATTCTCATACAGATTTTCAATGAGAAAAAACCATATTGTAACAAAAATCCGTTTTTTCTACCCGCGGAGGATCATATATCACCCATTGCTGACACAATTTAACCTCGGCTTCCCGAATTTAATACTAGGGAAATGAATAAACAAGATGTAATATGGACGTCCACTTCCCACGGGATTATATGGGCGCAGAAAGTCAAAATATCGCTCACATTTTCCCCGATACTCCATTTTTCTCGGCGTCATCACGTTCAGTGCATCATTTTGCCCGCAATCCTTTCAAAATTTATGTGAAATCCTCTCATACCCCGCTTGTGATAGTTCATTTAATTTCTCGGTACATGGAGAAAAAAATTGGGGCACAAATTACTATACAATCTAGGTAATCGGAGAGCGAAAATTAAATGGATGCCAGGAATTTTTATTTGAAATCGCGGAAAAAATGTGAGGTTAAGAATGAATTTTGCTTATTGTACCGTAAATTTTCACAAACGAACAGTAAAATTTATGAGGAGTTGGTGCAAGAGTACTATACTGAGAGAAAAAATTTGTTCTGCCGAAAAATTATATGTTCCCTTGAAGAGATATTTTGTCGTGTTGAATGAATTTACTTGTGGACAAAAAAGAAAGTTTCCACGGAAACATGATAATTTTCATAGTAGTAATTGTTCTCGTCAGACATTTATGTTTTCGGGTAAATACATTCATTCTACAGGCATTCTACTATGAGGCTCCGGTTTTATCAAGGGAATGTTATTGAGTTGTGCATATCTTTGTCCAGTAAATACTCATAATTTCCATGAAACCAACAATAATTTCAAGAGGAAACAACAATTTTCTATCCTCGTCAATGTATTCTTCTTATGGTATAAACTTATGGAGTTCTCTCAAATGAAATCATTGTCCTACAATAGATTATATTTTTTCCTGCCAATAGTTCAAATTCTTCTAGGATTATTTTTGATAATCGGAGCTGGCCTTCCCTGGGCCAATCAGAGTTCAGTATTCAATAACATGAAGTACTTCCCAATTAAAATTACAGCGGTTATTTGCCCCTAGCTTTTGATCATTTCCCTGTAGCTTTTGATAATTTCCCTCTAGCTCTGCAATTGTTTCTCTAACCAAATAACTGCCAAATATTATCCTGTGGAGTGGAAGAAAGTCATGGAGAAAGTCAAAATGAGTCGGTTTGGGAAGGATCCGATTACCAAAAATAATCTGTCGAATATCACTCGACCTCGTCTCGTGGTATTACTACTGAATATTTCTGATCACGATGAAAATTTAATTTTTATGAATGTTATTAAATTTTCTTCTATCAAGTTAGTCAATTTCCCTCAA